TACCTAACCACCAGTTAATGTGCCTGCGAAACAAGATAAGTAACTTTATTTTTTCATAAATATTTCATTTTTTCGATCCTAATATGTAATACGTAATGACCATTTGCCTTTCTCGTACACACAAATAAATCTTTTCCGATTTATGGAGGAAATATTTTTACATATTGTTAAAGATTCTCAAAAATTCACATCTTTACAATTTCATAGTAAATTGTCACAATTTTACACATACACCAAAAATACACCGTTTTTATTTTCTTTTAACTTATTATTTTATAAATAAATGTCCAAGAACCAATTCAGCTAAATGGACTTGTACTTCACATCTCTCAATTGCTTTAAATGGATGTATGACTTCATTGCTGGTGCGGCACTACTTTTTTATATTTTTTCTTTAATATTTCTTTGTTGCCTATATTTATTTTTTTTTATTAATTATAGGACCATAAATATACCATCCAAAGACGGAATTTTGAGCTATCATGCTCAAGCTTTGGAATATAGAACTTGAAGTACAGGGCATGTCATCTGTCGTGACATGATTTATTCTTTGAATATTTGGCTCGTATGAATTCAACATCTCGTATGAATTCAACTCTCGTATTGACACTCATACTATTAAATCTTGAACAATTCGTTAAAATATGATTACTGTTACACATGACATATCTATTTGATTGTGTCGATTGCGCATTTTGATGCGCGTGAAATTAATGATTAAGCCCAGGTGAAGTTGCTGTATTTCTAAGACAAACATATCTCTGGTTCTTAATTTGTAATCTTGATCTCCCCCATTAAAATATATACTTTCAATATACTTACTTTTTTTTGTTTTTTTTTTTTTAATTATTTTTATTATTTATGAATTTTATTATTTTTGAATATACAAACACTTCAACTATCAATTTATTTATAAATTTAGAAATAAATGAAGTTATATAAAATGTCAAATTTGTTTGTTGTGTATATTCTTCTTTTCTCAATAAACGTTTATTTTTAAACTTTAAGAGAACTATTAACAAATTTGCAACAACAATTTTTTTTTAGATTTATGTATATTGTTGATTTATGTGCTTTTTTAATTAAGTATTACTTCTATTTATTCGTCCCTATTAATTTTTTTATTATTATTCAATTGTTTGTTTATTATTATTGTGGTATTCAATGTATGTACTATGCATTGTACGTTACGTTACTCGACACACTGCCTACACAACTCTTTTTTCACCACACCAGCTGATCTATAGTCGAATCACACATAACAAAAAAACAGATGATAAAAGCTTGTTATATTTGTTGTTCACGAATGTAAGCAAAACAGATGTAACAAAATGATGCAGCAAAGTGAGAGTGGTGTTTTTTATGTATATGTGTGTATGTGTTCATTTCAATTGTGTTAAGCAACAACAAACATACATACAAAAGAGTTTTTCTCTTTAAAATTACTCAGTTGTATATTTGGCAACAAAAACAAAAGCAAGGGCGCCAAAATAAAAATCTTAACTGAATTGTTTTGAACAATGGTTTGTTAATTTTTTCTTGCAAATCAGCCGATTCTTTTTAAAGGTTTCGAAGGACCATGTACATGTTCCGATACAGGCGTATGGACTTGTAGGGGTTCTAAATCTACAGAATAGATTTAGAGCCGAAAGTGTATTATTTGTTGCACAAAGACGAACAACAAAGCTATGAATATTAGACAACACAACAAGTATACAGGCAATACTTACGTGTTGCTATAAGGCATCTGTGGTTAAGGCTTCAATAAAACACTTCTTTTAATTAAAAGACTCTGACGGTCTGAATTTATGTATTTATTTGTCAAAACAATTCTTTTTGTTGTGCAAAGTTAAGCTTCTTGCTTCTTCTTTCTTAGTGATCGTCCTCTCTTGATGACAACAGTTAATTGTTGAGGTATCGATTGATGGCTCATCGGGGTCATGAACCAGGAACCTCAACAGTGACTGTCAAGCGGCTTGAATGACGATACATCACAAGAGTTATCGTTTGCGTCTAACCATGGCCATCTTCATTGACATACGGACTTGGATTCTGATAGTAGTTGGCACTGGTTTCGCTCCGCCTGTGACATTAGATGGTAGATATCAGAGTTGGAATTGTATATCCGGAAATGATTTCTTGATTTAGCTATCATTTTCGTACTTTGAAACTCAAATGGGATCGCTATTATTTTCATGATTTGTATCAATCAGCATCTAAATTTGTGCTGAATCTTTTCGTTTTCTTCGACCATTAGCTGAAGGTCTTTCGTCACCATGAAGAATTATATGGACTCCTAAGAGAAAAAAAAAATTCTTCAACGGCTTTAATGTTGTTGATTCTTTCAACCATCCTCTTGAAGTTAACATTTACTTCTTCCGCAGTTATCTTCAGCACATTTGTAGTAGACTCGACCACGGATGCCCGCTTTTGGATCAGAAACTTTAAGTCGTGCTGATTGCTTATTATAATTTTCATACTCTCCTCCATGTTTCTTCGGTCCTCCGTCAAGTCACTCACTGCTTCGAGGCGAATTGCTTTTGTTGCCATACACATAAACACTGCTGTGTAGCCCTTATAATATTGCTGTCCTCTGGTCCTTGAGCACTTTTAAAATCGGTCCAGCATAAGTGTACAGGAATGGATGATTCATCATTACCCTGGACTATGGCAGTTTTCCCATCAACTGAATATATTGTCTCCTGTTTATAATAAATACATTTCGTGAAATGGCGGATGTGCTTTTTTATGATTCGCCGTACACCAATTATCCAACATTTCCTCTCAATCACAAACTTCATTAAGCGATTGCCTTCATGCAGAGTTATTTCATGGTCTGATGGTTTCTGATGGTTTTTGAAGCCATTTAGGACCACTCCACCAAATAGTTTCCTTATCTATTGACAGTACTCGTCTGGAGCCAAGATCAGCTGGATTTTCCTTAGCGGGTACATAGCTCCACCTTGTGTTTTGCAGCTCTCTAATTTCATTCACTTTGTTTCGAATGAACCTGTTGGAATTCCAGCCCAAAAGCTATTGTAGAGTCGCTCCATGCAAAAATCATAAACTTACATATCAAGGCAAGAATAACCCGTTTTAGCAGCTTGGACAGTAAATATGCAGCAGATAATTCCAACTTCGGCAGCGTTTTTCTATTTTTCATTGGATTTACTTTCATTTTCGATGTCAATAAATGTACACTACCATTGCATTTTACGTGTGCAACAGCCGCATATGCTTTTTCTGAATCGTCTGAGAATCCGTGATTTTCAACTGACTCGTGCATAACTGTTGCCACCAATCTTGGTATTCGTATTGTAATCAGTGCGTTTATCGAACTTACAAACTGTTTTCAATCTGTTATTATGCGATGTAACTCCAAGGCATAAAGCACATTTTTATACTCTTCACCATACTATGGAGAGTATACTTAGCCTATCCTTCCGTTTGTAACTCCTCGAACTACTCATGTCAGACCCAACAAAGTATATATATATATATATACATGGTGAGATGAAAAAACTGCAACCAACTTCAAGCTGCTTTCATTTCTAAGCCACTCGTCCGACAGCTGTTAAAATTATTCCAGTAAAAGCTCATTATATTATTTACATGCGTACAAAAGCACTTTGGTGAGAACTTTCCAGAAAAAAAGTTATTCGTGATAAAATTCAAGCTTGATAGTGTGATTTCTTTATATTTGGCTGGAAAACCACAATTGGCTATCGTTAGAGCTCTCTAGCATTTAAATGTGAATAAATCTTTTGTATCTCGTACTATCGCTCGTTATCGTGATACTGGTAGCGTAGCCTGACATTAAGGAAGTGGACGCAAGAAAACGGAAAAATCAGCAGAAATGGTTCAAAAAGTAGAGAAGCGACTTGATCGAAATCAGCGTCGCAGTGGCCGAAAAATGGCTCGAGACCTGAATACATCGCAATATTCTATTAGGAAAAACTATTGAAAAATTAGCTCGGTGTAAAGCCATTGAAATTCAACAAAGTGAAGAACTTACACCGCAACAGAATGAATATAGACTCAAAAGAGCTAAAGAGTTGCTTCGCTTGGTCGAAAGTGGTGAACTGGCTAATTTTGTTAATCCGATGAGAAAACATTCGTTGTTCAGCAGTTGGTAAACAAACAAAATTATGGTGTATACTTGCCAAAGAGATCAGCTGAAAATGTGCACCTTCGGATGGCCACCAGAACTCAAGCGCGGGCCATGTTGATAGTGTGGGCCGCCACAACAGCCGATGGTGGATCTCCGCTCGTATTACCATAGCATCAGAATAAATTCCGAATAATATCGCGAAAATATTTTGGAAATCATCTAGAAAAATTAAAAAAATGCGTAAAATTCTACGTCGATTTAGCTATGTCCGTCTATATGACTGTCCGCCTGATAAGTTCGAAAATGGTTCATGTCGGTTCATATATAACGGTTCCTCTCAATATTCGGTATTTTTACGATTTAAGCGACATTATAGACCAGAATTGTTTCAAGTTTCGTATTTTGTTTCTACTGGATACTACAGCTTTTGTCGAAAAATTGCGTCGCTGGTCTACGTCTTCGTGTAGCCATCATATAACAATACCTCCTGATATTCGGCATTTGGATGATTTTAGCGACATTATACAATGGTCATGTTCAAAATTTCGTATTTGAAAGTCATAATGGACACTGCAGCCTATGACAAAAATTGAGTTTGCAGGTCTTCGTCTTTGTACAGTCTTTTCAATTAAACAGTACTTCCCTACGAAAAGTTCCTTTTTATAATTTTTCCAGTTTCTTCCAAATAGTGGAGGGTATTAAAGGTTCGGTCCGGTCGAAACTATGTTCTTTTTTACATGTTGCAAACAATTTCAAAACGCATAAAGTGCTAAAATTTTTTCATCTGCTTTAACAACTAAAAATGCTATGTTCATGGTGTTATTTGATAATATTTTCGATGAAGAATTTAGCATTACTATTGCTTATGTAGTTTTTGTTCTCCTTACAGGTGTGAACTAATAATAAACTCCGCAAGAATTAACGCTGGCGCCCAACAGTCATCTCGAAATTCCTGTAAAACATTAAAATGCCCACAATGCAACTGGCATTATAAGTATCAGGAAACGTTGGAAATACATATGCGTGAAAAGCATCCCGAGGGAGAATCTGCGTGTGGATACTGTTTAGCAGGTAATACCTTATTAAGCAAGTACAATGCACGAAATATACATAAGAAATGAAAGCAAAGTAAATGCAATCATGATTTATAAAGAGGATTCAATCATTCATAAATACCAAATACATATTTTTATTCATATTATAATATATATATATATATATATATATATATATATATATATATATATATATATATATATATATATATATATATATATATATATATATATATATATATATATATATATATATATATATATATATATATATATATATATATATATATATATATATATATATTTGACCGATATAAAATTAAAACCGTTTCTTAATGGTTTATGTTGTACATTTAATATATGTTATTTATTGTTATGGATTTATGACGACAAGTCATATTAGCCAATAAGCCTTGACTCCTTTCATAAAAACGAACGACTTATAATAATCCTTATTCGAGCTGATAAATTAAAATTATTGATGTACTTAAAGAATAATTCTTTATCTTGTTCTTGAAGCAAATCATGCAGCAATTCGCATGCTAACTAAAGTCTTGTATGCTAATATTTGCAACCCATTGCCATGTAAAATTGTGTCATATTCAGATTATTATATGCTATTTCCTCCATTATTAATATTCAACTTTCTAATTGTAATTCATGATATTTCACCTTTAAAGGATAATCATTCTTCACATTGGTAATGATTTGCCGAATTGACAAATTCTTCCTAATTTTTCTTCGACGTTTTTTTTTTTTAATCTTTTTTTAATTCTCTTTATATCAATATTTATTTTTGTAATTTATAAATGCATGATAATTCGTTAAAACATGATTATATTTCTTTTATATGCTTTTGCCTTAAATTAATTATCGAATAAAAATTGAACAGTATAAACGACCCTTATTGTTGAGCAAACTAGTACAGGGTAGGTGCTTCTTGAATAATTTTTTTTTTAATTATTAATGTTAACAATACTTATTTTACTTGCTTCTTCTTCCATCTAAGTTTTCGTGTTTAATATGATTCGAAATAAGTAATTTGACCTGTCAATAAAGTGTTAATCTTCAAATTGTAGAAGTCATTCTAAGTTTGACCCGACCGAAATTAACATATTTTTTATCCCTTGTAACATATGTTTGATATTCTTTATATTTTTCCGAAATAAAGTTTGTATTTCTCCAGTAAAATACATTGTCACTAAATTCTTTCATTTAATTTCAATTATATTTTGCAGGTCAACAGCATCCAAGGTTGGCTCGTGGAGAATCATATTCCTGTGGATATAAGCCATATCGTTGCGATATATGTAATTACTCTACAACTACAAAGGGCAATCTTTCTATACACATGCAATCCGACAAACACCTTAACAACGTTCAAGAACTTAACAGTTCCCGTACTATTATAACTTCTTCGGATGCCACCAATAGTATTATGAAATTAGATGCTTTGGCAGCCACTTATATATCCCACTACCACACAATGCCTAAGCATCGTCCACAAATGGATGTAGGAAGTGGTGAAACATCCGCATTAAAGGCTCATGAGAAAGAAGGAGGTTTGGATAAAAGTGGTCCAGTGTTCCGATGCGATATGTGCAATTATGAAACGACCATGGCACGAAATTTAAGAATTCATATGACATGTGAAAAACACATGCAAAACTTAACAATATTGCAAAACAATATCAAAAATATTCAGGCACTTTCTTTGTTACAGCAGCATCAAAGTCAAATTTTACCCAAAAATGATGAGTTTGACTGTGTCGTTTCAAGGACAGATGTCAATTTAAAGACTATAGAGGCAAATAGTAAACCTGACATGGATACAATTAAGCAAACATTTGATTCAGTCTCGGATTTCGGTCGATCAGACCACATAACTAGTTCAGAGAGCAATAAAGGCTTTCCATTTAAAAAACAAATGTGGCCTACTGAATTGTATAGTTGTTTAATTTGCGAAAACTTTAACACAAACGACGTCGATGCTCTTTACCAACATTTAATTATTGATCGATCTGTAGAAATTGATAGCAAAGAGAATCCGAAACTAATACCTACTAATATTTTATCAGAAAAAATACGCTCGACATCATGTGCCTCACCAGACACCCACGTTACTTACAATAATGACTACGTATGTATATTATGTAATTATAAAACTAATTTAAAGGCAAATTTTCAATTGCACAGCAAAACTGACAAACATTTGCAGAAATTGAATTTTTTTAACCATTTACGGGAAGGTGGTATGGCTAATAGGAACAAAATAAAATACTATCAACAACATATGGGTATAAATGTTATTCAAATCAAATGCAATTGTTGCGATATGCTCCTGAATTCAATTTTTCAACTTAAGCTCCACATTAAACACTCTCGACATGAAGGTATGGAACTTTTATTTCTTCATTTAAATAGAATTATTCGTAATAATACCGACGAAAAACAACACAGTAGCAAGTTAGAAAAAAGTCGGATAAGAAACAAAAATATTTGTTGTAAAATGTGTAATATTGCTGTTGGTTCGTTAATAAAAATGGTAAATCATGTGAAGACCCGCCATTTAAGTCAAATGGAAACCTTGTTGCGAATGGGTACAGACGGTGAGAGTTTCGCTAAAGCTTTAGAAGAAATGGTTTGTTTAAGCGATGTGGTCGAAAATGATGAAACAGCTAAAGAGATTTATGAACGAAATTCTTCGCCGGAAAACAACTTAAGTGATGCTGGCACAGGTAAATATATGATCACAATAGCAAGAAAACATGATTTTGGAAAAGAGATTATGTTAACGTCAAATTATTGAAAATTCAGTATTGTTTGGAAAAGGTAGTGGGAAATTTATTTATTTTGGTTTAATTCTATAATTTTTATTGTTCTTGCAGATTGCTTTACTTAATTCCACAAATATGCAATATGATTTTGTTCTATTTTAAGAAATACCTTAAGGGCCTACTGAAAAAAAGTATAGCTCTAAAAACAATGTTCTGCGAACGGATTTGGAACCCATTTTCAAAATTACAAAAAAATCGATAGAAAATGTGGTGTTAGTCGTCATAATAGTGAATATGGTGTCAATAGTATTTATATAATGTTCAATTCTTTAAGGAATATACATATGTAGAGGTATTCCATTGTGAAGGATACTATGTCACGTGTAAACAAATGCAATCAGCTGTGGTCAAAATACGCACATTGAATAAAGTCAAAAATTATGCATATACCTATCCATTGGAATATATAAAAAGTCATTTAATCAATCCATAACCATTCCGTTCTCATTAATGATGTCTGGAACAGTCTCCATCGTCTCATCCTAATATTCCAGAAGGACCATGGTAAACACTATAATGCGCTGACTGAGCATTTAGTAGTTATTGAAGACGAATCGATATTCTTAACGAAAATACAGCAATAATAAACAATACCATGATTCTATAACCACCGTTTGCGGCACATTCCAAATTACCTTTGAGGATCCACATAGAGAAATCAAAAAAGGAATTATAATGAGAAAAAAACATACGTCAGCCTAAATACCGATTAACAATATTATGGGTCATCAAGACAAACTAAGTCTTCCTTTTGCGCAAATATCAAACAAATAGAGTATACAACAATTTCCGTGCTAGCTACTTAAATTTTATTTTTTTTTGTGTTTTTATTGTTCTAAAACTGCGTCAGAAGCGCGTAGTACAGAATATCGATATTGAAGCTGACATCGACGTGTGGAAAAATCAAATTGATTAAATTTTGTTCCGTCGATGGCGTAAGCGATTCTATATCATTCATTCTGCTATAAACTTATCTGTTCTATTTCTTATGGCATTCCAAATTTCGGGACTTTCAAAAATTTCTGTAAAATTTTCAGACGTGTGGAATAATATATTAAATTTCTTACGGAGTTTCAAATTTCTCGGATTTCGGCATTTTCAAGAGTTTTGAAAAAAAAAATCAGATATGTGGAACCATCAAATAAATGTATTAAATGCCGTTCCATCTATGGCGTAAGGTGGGAGGAGGTAACACAGTCACCGTCGTCTCATCCTAATATGCCAGACGGACTATGGCAACCATTTTATTACGCTGACTGCAATGCTAGCCAAACACAATCATCGTAAGTGTTTATAAAGTCAACCTTGTTTACCATCCAACATGCGGTGTCCTGTTGCACCACACAGCATTGAAAAAGGATGAGTCGGACTTGCAATAGCTTTAGAAAATAGCTTACATTTTAGATTGATAAGAGAGGTCAAATAAAGTGGTTTAATACCACCAAATAAATACTCGATAAAAGAGCAATTTATATTAACTTACACATAGCCCAATGTGTTTTTTTTAGGAGAATGTACCATTCACAACGATCGCCCTCAGATCTATTTGTCAATATTTTTCAATATAGAAAGCTGCCTTAGATGTTTGACATTTTACTAGGGTTCGGATGACGATGTTCATGTTTGGTAAGTGAGTTTATACGTGCTGCTGAAGTGTATGTGATGATAGGGTCATGCTCGTGTAAAGTGGGGTGATATGTGAAAGGGTACGGACAGTGTTACGGATTGTTCCCGCTACTCCTCTTGGTAAGCAAAGTGCAGCAAGAAGTAATGTCTGCCTCCATAAGCATTGAATCTTGTAGTTTGCGTGACTATGGGGTAGGCTAAATTAACTATGCGGTATAATTCTTGGTTGAGAATACTACGAAATATTTTAAAACTTATTATGGTGCTCAGGAACCTTATGTCGGGATGCTGGCTTATTATGGGCTATATAAAAGCCAGGTTTATTATGTTGTGAAATGAAAGATATAATCTGGTGAAATATATATAATAAAAATAATAATATAATATATAATAAAACCGTCACTATAATCACCAAATACATAGTTTATATAATAAATCATGGGTATATTCAAGCAGTCTTCTGCCACAGAAGAAGAAGAATTTTCAGTAAATATTGTGGAAAATGTGATTCAAATCGTCAAAATACCGAATATCGGGAGGCATAATGGACCAACATGCTTAATTTAGGAAGTGAACCAGCCTACTTACGAAATACACAATACAAAATTAAAACAAGTAAAAAAACTGAAAGTTCGGCCGGGCCGAACTTTGAATACCCTCCACCATTTGGTACAAATTTAACAATTTCAAAAAAAAAAAAAATAAAATCCCTAAAAATCTGTTAAAAAAAGTCTATACGACGATGTGGACCTGCATAGGCAACTTTTGTCACAAGCTATTACAATATTGAAATGTGAAATTTGAAAATAAAATCTGTTTATAATGCACCGGCAATTTTCTGTCATAGGCTGTAATATCGAACTTCAAATGCGAAATTTGAGACAATTCCGGTAAATAATGTCGCTAAAATAATCAAAATACCGAATATCGGGGGGTACCGTTATATGGGGGCTATATGAAGACGTGGACCTGCACAGACAATTTTACGTCATAGGCAGTAGTATTCATTACGAACTTCAAATGCGAAATTTGAAACAATTCCGGTAAATAATATCGCTAAAATCATGAAAACACCGAATATCGGGGGGTACCGTTATATGGGGGCTACACGAAGGCGTGGACCTGCACAGACAAATTTCTGTGATAGGCTGTATCATCCATTATGAACTTCAAATGCAAAATATGAAACAATTCCAGTAAAAATGTCGCTAGAATCATCAAAATAACGAATATCGAGAGGTACCGTTATATGGGGGCTATACGAAGACGTGGACCTACATGGCTCATTTTTTGTCTTAGGATGTAGTATTCTTTACGAACTTTAAATACTGAAACTGAAACAATTCCGGTAAATAATCTCGCTAAAATCAAAATACCGAATATCGGGGGGTACCCTTACATGGGGGCTTTACGAAGACGTGGACCTACATGGCCCATTTTCTGTTTTATGCTGTAGTATCTATTAAAAACGTCAAATACAAAATTTGAAACAATTCCGGTAAATAATGTCACTAAACTCATCAAAATACCTAATATCGGGAGGTACCGTTATATGGGGGCTATACGAAGACGTGGACCTACATGGCCCATTTTCTGTCTTAAGCCGTAGCATCTATTATGAACTTTAAATATTAATTTTGAAACAATTCCGGTAAAAAATCTCGCTAGAATCATCAAAATACCGCACATCGGGAGGTACCGTTATATGGGGGCTATACGAAGACGTGGAGCTACATGGCCCATTTTCAATACCAAAAGTCCTGCAGACATAATACACATTTGAGTAAAATTTTATCAACTTACTTCATTTCGTTCGGAAGCTAGAGTGATTTCCACAGACGGACAGACGGATAGACGGGCGGACGTTGATAAATCAACATAGAATTTTATGCTGATCAAGAATATATATACTTTGTGGGGTCTAAAATGTATATTTCGAGGTGTTACAAACGGAATGACAAACTTAATATACCCTCCATACTATGGTGGAGGGTATAATAAGTGCGAAACTCCATCCTCTATCTCACTTCGTTCGAAAGAAAGCGTGATTATAACGACAGGCAGACGGACATTATTTAATCGCCTTAATAGTTTGTACATCTCTTACACTCTCTTTCTAGTGTAGAATCCATGTGGCGGTACCGCCCATTCTATAGTATTTTAAAGACACAAATAGCGTTCCCCAACTGTTTTCTTCAGCAAGTCGATTTAGCGAGGTCCGCCAGTCTATCTGTTGTAACCATGATATCTTTTGAACGCATTGAGATTGGCTAAAATTTTGCACATGAATGTATTTTAAGGTGAAGTTCGTAAATGGGTCATGTCGGTATTTTTATGATTTTAGCGACATAATGGATATTACAGCGTATGACAGAAAATTACTTATGCAGGTCCACGTCTTCGTATAGCCCCATATAACGGTTTTCATTAAGGCGTTATTTTCCGGAATTCGTTAGAAATTTTCAAGTTAATTCCAAATGGTGGAAGGTATTAAGAGTTCGGTCGCCCATAATGCGCTGACAGAGCATTTAGTAGTTATTGAAGACGAATCGATATTCTTAACGAAAATACAGCAATAATAAACAATACCATGATTATATAACCACCGTTTGCGGCACATTCCAAATTACCTTTGAGGATCCACATAGAGAAATCAAAAAAGGAATTATAATGAGAAAAAAACATACGTCAGTCTCAATACCGATTAACAATATTATGGGTCATCAAGACAAACTAAGTCTTCCTTCCTTCCGCAAATATCAAACAAATAGAGTATACAACAATTTCCGTGCTAGCTACTTAAATTTTATTTTTTTGTGTTTTTATTGTTCTAAAACTGCGTCAGAAGCGCGTAGTACAGAATATCGATATTGAAGCTGACATCGACGTGTGGAAAAATCAAATTGATTAAATTTTGTTCCGTCGATGGCGTAAGCGATTCTATATCATTCATTCTGCTATAAACTTATCTGTTCTATTTCTTATGGCATTCCAAATTTCGGGAATTTCAAAAATTTCTGTAAAATTTTAAGACGTGTGGAATAATATATTAAATTTCTTACGGAGTTTCAATTTCTCGGATTTCGGCATTTTCAAGAAGTTTTGAAAAAAAAAAAAAATCAGACATGTGGAACCATCAAATAAATGTATTAAATGCCGTTCCATCTATGGCGTAAGGTGGGAGGAGGTAACACAGTCACCGTCGTCTCATCCTAATATGCCAGACGGACTATGGCAACCATTTTATTACGCTGACTGCAATGCTAGCCAAACAC